ATATCAATCTGTCAGGTTGCCACATTGTCTGCAATGACAGCAACCTCTGACATTTACATGCATTGGGGACAGGATATTCTTTTGAAGAGGAAAGGGATGAGAAAGAAGAAAAGCAGTCAGCTGTGAAGTAAGTGAGGCATTACTCAGCAGCCACTGCCCGATTTAATGTCTGATGCTTGGACATTAATGAGGCAGGTAGCAGATATAGTTGGAATTTGGACAATAAAATGTGCTAATTGTGGAGCAAAACTATTTTCCTTCTGTACTTACTTGGAATTGAGATGCAGTCTGCAGGATCAGGAAAATGGCTGGTTGGTCCAGAAGCAAGAGGTTGAGGTCATTCTTTTCTCTTAACAATGTTCTTGTCAAAAGATAATGAGTGTGCTACTCTACAGTGAAAATGACTTCAGGCATGCACATTGCAGTCCAGACTTGAACAACACATTACTGCTAACAGTTCACTTACTACAGTCAGCAGTCAGCTTCAATTAATGCCTCATTTTTTTCAAGCACAAGTACAGAATTTATGTGCCTGTAGACCAGCAGACAGTCAGGTTTTAATGGCCAGAAGCACTAATATAGCAGTAGGTGTGGTCGAGCTCACATAAATCATGGGTAACCAAATTAACTCCCCTCAGACCTTTTTAAAGGCGCACCTTTTCAACCGTGGCACACTGAAAGTTGAATGGACAGCGAAAACCCTGCAGTCATGTCTTTACAAGCAGAATAATGTGAGCTGCTCTCAATGGAAATATCACTCAGTCACATATATTACTCTGAATTTCTTCATATGAATTGATGTCAGCTTGTTCTATTCATTCTTGCCATTTAGTTATTCTGTGAATCCCTTTTAAAGTGCACTTCCAGCAGGAAAAACATGAATAAAATATAAGATGTAATATGCATGTTGAAAAACAAGCAGTTTTTCATTAAAACAATAAATTCTCCTTAAGATGATATTAATCAAAATCAGTAAAATCTCAAGTGAATTAGAGAAGATGTTAACAGGCGGTGTAGTTGTATATTGTTGCTTTAAGCTGCATGAATTTATTAAATATTTGCATCATCATAGTTTTCCACATGATCCATGTGTACATCCCCAAATACAGAGTTGTGAATGTTTATGAATGTGGCACAACCGTATTAACTTAATGGTAACACTGTTTGAGTTGGCTGTTGAGTCTTGAGCTCCTTTGCATCTGTTGGACATAGTGTAGTGTTTTACATATTTGCTTGGCAAGTGAATGGCCACTTGATTAATTTCAACCAGACACACAACCAGGGGTTGGATCAGGAAAGGCTTTTGGTGTAAAATTCAGACAGGATTTAACTTCTTTCAGTCACAAATGACTGCCATATATTGGATAATGTTTTTTTACCTGATAAAAAACTAATTTGCTGAATGCAGTGTTGCTACCTTAATTTTAGTAAAGTAAAAGAGCAAACATACAACAATGAAGAGACATTCAAGACAAGAGGGCACATATTCACATCCGTGGTTAATAGAGAAGTCTAACAAAAAGAGAAGAAAAAAAGGTCATATTGCTAAGGTTTGCCTCACTCTATAATATGCATACAAGAACAATCTGCAGGATGCAAGTAGATTATAATTGATCTTATAATTATCCCAGGTTTAGCAAAGCAGCCATTTGAGTTCCATGTAGCCCAAAGGGATGTGTTTGACAATTATACATGCAGCATCTATAACCTTGATCAAACCTTGCAAAACTTAAATATCTTTATAAATTGGTGAAAAGCTTTCTTTACAGCTTGGACAGAGCAGAATTATAAGTAAGGAAGTGTTGTGGTGATTGAATGAATAATGAATCCTTGTTAAATCCACTGAAACTACAAACATTCATTTTGTTGGAAAGAAAATGCCTACAGGCAATTAGAATAATACATTAAGTGACGTAAACATGATCATTATGGAGGGACCTGCTGACCACATGTTGAGGTTTTTCTTTTCTTTTTTCCACGGTTGTTTATCAGATCCAATTAGATGTTAACTCAGGTGAGAACCAGCCAGGGCTGGACTGGGACAAAAAATCGACCCGGGCATTTTGACAAGAGACCAGGTATTAAAGCCATAGAGCCTTTGAATGAAAGCAAACGCTGTTGTGACAGTGATGTACACTGTCTTGTTGGTATATGTATGATTTCTATACATTTTATGTCAGATAAAAACTTTGGTTGGAAGATTCAGATAATTATTTATTAAAAGCAAGACATTTTAAATAAGAACAAGAAAGAAAAGTATTTCTTTGTGCCCCCCTTTCCCTGTTAATGCCCTACCTGGCCCCCTGGCAAAACTTTGCTAGACCCGCCCCTGCATAGTTACCAGCTGTCAGCTACAAAGGATCCTGGTGTTATTTGTCTCTCAGAAACAGTTCATAACTTCCCTTCAACTCATTCATGTCACCTAAAGGTAAACCTGTTTCTCCATCACCTGTTCAGCTCTGATGATTCAGTAAGGACATCTCCTGGTTTCATCTTCATGTTTCCCTCTCACCAGTTATCCAAACCGATATCATGACCAGCAGCTTTTACAGCTGTGGCTCCAGCAAACATCAGCTGATACTAGAAATTAATATTAAATAAATTCTAACAGCAGCTGATCAAGCTTAAATGTGCTGCTGTTGTTTAGCGCAACATCCGCTGGTTTCCTCTTTCTGGTGCAAAGTAGGAGATAAACAAACAAGAGAGAAAAGCTGATCAGCTGATCACTGATCATGACTGAAGTAGCAACAGGAGAGGGAGGGGGAGAGAATGAGAGAAGAAGAAGCAGCTGTGCAGCGTAAAGACAGAATAACTCCAGCTTTGTGTCTTTTTCCATTCTGGCTGAAGTACAGGACATACTGCGTTTCCTTTCAGCTCAATACAAAACTCGTAATATTTTCTCTGGATACGGGACGATTCCGTTTTTTTATGGGACGGTTGGCAACTCTACTAACTAACCTTGTGAATAAAATAAAGTTCACTATTGGTAACATCATAGCACCCACCCAGCTGTATAGAAACTCTGTCATGCTAGCTCACGCAGTACGAGTTATTGTAACTGACAGTAAAAAGTCAGCACAATGAAAATAAACTACCCCTAAACTTGGTTTATATCTGACCCAGACAGACTGCAGGTCATAACTTCTTACCTGAAGTTCAGTTCACCTGACACTCGGACCTGCGGCCGCCTCGGGTCTCTCCTCCTCCTGCCTCCCCTTTCCCTCATCCACCTGCTGGCCTCTGTGGAAGCTCCGCCATAGCCACCACCAAACAACGGAGTTATTTTTACATATCGGCCAGCATCTGGTCAATCCACCACCTATCATTGTTTAAACCGTTACAAAAAACCCAGAAAAAACATCGGCCCATAAAAACGAAAAATCACCATCGGCCCACCGATGGAGCCAGCCATGTCCATGCCCCATGGTCTTGTAATTGTGGAGGGCCGACTGTGCAGCCTGGTTTCAAGAACTGCTGCTGCCTCGATCTTGTGAAGATATTATTACTGACACTGTTGCTGTCAGAAATCTAAGAGACATGCATTTTTCAGAGCAAGCGTGGGTTGCGCCAGAAAATCCCACCGTCACTGAAATTACCACCATAGACACTTTCCCAGGAAAATCCAACACTTTAGTTCACAGACTGATGAGTTTGATTTTCATTGGCCAAATTATTTTTGCTGCTCTCCGAGTGAATATGCCAGAGGTTTTCCAACCATCCAGCAGCATTTGCACTTGTGGTATCTTTTTTTGCCAGTAAAATTTCTTAGACAGTCATCTTGTGAGTGACAAACTAAATTATTGGTCTGTCTTTGTCTCAGTACAGCTGTTTAAAAATCCAGATATTTACTTTCTGTAATGAAATTTTAAGATTGTTCTTATCAGCCATATGCCAAAGACACATGTTTAGAAACCCGCAAGATTCTTGGTTGCAGCTAGTCTTAATTTGACAACACTGATATGAAGCTTCCACATTGGCACTGAGTGGACTTATGTACTCTGTGACCAAATTGGTGGAAGATGATATTCTATAATATCTCCTGATCCTGGTACAGAGCTGATTATAGTGTGCAGGAAGAAATACGTTTGATCTTTTATTCTTTTTTTTGCTCTCGGTCTAGGGTGCAGAGAACTGAGGGACCCTTGTAGCACAAGTAACGACAAAAATTACTGTAGTACTGTAGAAATGTGATGTAACGTTACTTTGTAACACATTACTGTAATGACAGTAATGGGTATAATGTGTTATTTTGTAATGTGTTATTGTTAACACTGGTGCTGTGTCACATAATCTTATTTGGTCATCCCCCCTTTTTTGTTCTTGGTCTTCACTGAGCTACAACATTAACAAGAAATCCTGGAAATGCCCCTGTATGTCTGCTGAGTTTATTTACCCGCAGTGGGGGAAATGATCTTTTTTGGCAGCTCATGGCCCAGTTGAAAAAATAAACAAGGAATAAAACAAAAAAATATTCAATCCTATCTTGTAGGATTAAATGTGATGATAAAACAGTCCCAAAATGTTCTAACTGATTAATTAATTAACTACATTTATTAAGCATATTCTGTTGGCCTTTTCTCCGTAGCTTTAGTTTAAAAAATGACCAGGTCATGTGAAGCAAGCTTAGAGTATGACCTGCAAGAAAAGTGACTGATCCCCACTGGCTTGTCACTGAATCTGTGAACCATTTAAACTTTAATGGATTTCAGATCACAGATCACTCTTAATTAAAAGGCTTATTTTATGTGGGTTTTGGTCACAAGATGCAAAATAAAAATTGGACATCATTTGTGTTATTGTGTATGAAAACAACTGCAGCTGCTCAGTATTATTTCAAGTCCAACATGTTTCCAGCTGTGCTTTGATGTTAGTGTCTAGCACTCCTTACTTAGGCACTTTTTGGATGTTTTGGCCATTTGTCTGAGTCTTATTTTCACTTTGCTTGTCACTTGTACTCTGTGTCTGTTCTGTGTGTTTGTGTGTGTGCGCTTTGGGTTCAGCAGAATTAGGTGGACAATGAACATGCCTGGCGGCACCCCAGGGGAGGAGCTCACAGATGAGGAGAAGGAGATCATCAACAGTGTGCTAGCTCGGGCAGCTATGATGGAGGCCATCGAGCAAGAGAGGATTGAGTGAGATGGAAAACCGTTGTCTCTGTTGCACTGAATCACATCACCAACCATGCACAGATGCTCACTGAGATGAACAACTTTTTGATGTCAAGCCTGTGCCAAGTTTGTGTCCCTGTGCTGATAATAATTTGCATGTGCTCTCAGGCGTCTTTCCAGTCATCTGGATAATATCAAGAAGACAGCGTGTGGTGATGGAGAGATGCACTGTCTGCTGTGTGGTGCGTCGTTTGGACCACAGGGGGTCACAGCTGTCCTCTGTGTGCAGTGCAAAAAAGTAGGTGGATTTTGTTACTTTTTTTGTTCATAGGGGTTGAAGGGACTGTGCCTGGACTGGAATTTTCTTTACCACTGCTTGGAAAGTAACATTTACTCAAATACTATACTTAAGCACAACTTTCAAGTTCGTTACCTTTTCTTTAACATTCTGCTCTACTTCATCCTTCTACCTAACGGTATTCCAGAGATTTATGTGACATTTTTAGTAACCAGTGCAATTTCTTGATTCATTTAAGTTGTTGAAGAGTTCAGGTGGTGATTACTGTAAGTCACTATGACCCATAAAGCCACAAAAGGGCGACACCAGTTTGAAACGAATGTAAAGAAAACGATTAGGGTTTAATATTAAGTTTGTCAAAGTGCACCACTGGAATGATGAAGTCATTACACTAGGACAGGTCCTCAATGCACTTGCGCATATTTTTAAGTGAGGTCATGCTAGAAATCACACCGAAAAACATAAAAGCTGACGCCCTGGTGGGGTCAGTGACTTCTTTGTACTAGTTTACTGTCGCTGCAGCTGCACTAAGCTTCTAATACTGCATCTCTGACCTAAGCTTGGTTGTTACTGAAATGACTCACTATTGATCTGCTCATTCAACTCTTTCTTTACCAAAATATATGAACAAATTTTACTTATGTCTGTAAAAGTGTGTCAGTAGAATTTAGCTGAGGGTGCAGAGCGACCTTTTTGGACAGCCCGGTCCCCCAAGCCCCACCCATATTGCCAACACTGCAGGGAGCCCTCATGCACTTGATGATTTGACAGTGGGACAGTCCTGAATCCTCCAGGGTTTTAACGGAAACATGACTCAATGTCTGTAAATTTGTGACAGTGGACATTGGGCCTAAGAGTTCAAAAGAGGACCCAAATGCAGCACAAAATTAATTTAACAAACTCACAAAGGATGTGAGCAAAATGTGCTGCAAAATACTGACAGGATACAAAGTCCTTAAACTGAAAAAGGCAGAGATGGAAACCTGGGAGTGCAAGTATAGAGGGAAACTCATGTCTTCACACTCAAGGCTGAGTGGAAAATGAGATATAGGTGGAAACAATTACGGACTCACAGGAGGGGATTGGACAAAGACAGAAAGGAAAACAACAAAATACACATAAGGAAAAGCATTTACCAAAGTACAGGGTGGGCCATTTATATGGATAAAATGGGAATGGTTGGTGATATTAAAGTCCTGTTTGCGGCACATTAGTATATGTGAGGGGGCAAACTCCTCAAGATGGGTGATGACCATGGTGGCCATTTAGAAGTCGGCCATCTTGGATACAACTTTTGTTTTTTCAATAGGAAGAGGGCCATGTGACACATCAAAC